ATAATTCTGTTGTAGAGTACTTATTTTGTTTATGAATAATCCGCATGCAAGCATTAATGAAAACAAAAGACTTAGTTTAGCGAAGAGTCTGTTTTCTTTACGGCGAATTCATTCACTTAGCTGTACAATCGCAATTATATTTACCTATTTTTGTATGTGTGTGTGAGTTATTGTTGTCAAGACATTTCAGAAATGTGATAAGAAATCAAACTGTAACTACGGGGGAGGGTGAAGATTACTCAGAGGGTAGTAGTGACGCTTTGTCAAAAAACACATTTATTTAACACATAAAAGAAGTTGAATAAGCGTGATAAAGTTACGTAATAAGATGAGTAGTTTAATGAGTGAGTTGTGATTAGGATGCGTATAGAAAGAAAGGAAAATATGGAATTATGTAAGAGTTCTAGAAATTACAAATATTATAAGGGAGTTAGAAAAATGTACATTTTGCTTTCAGTGGCTCCATCTACAGAAAAATGGACAGTACTGCAATGGGATCTCCCTTGGGTCCATAGCTGGCAGACTGCTTGATGGCTAGCCTTGAGAATGGCCCACTTAAATCACCCATTGACAATGAGAAACTGTCCAAAAACGATAAGTATTAGATGGAGGCAATCGGTAGGAATCCTTTGACCTTGGTTTCGTGCTAGCTGGCACTCATCAGCAAGGTGTATCTGCAACCTCAAAGGAACTCATGTCCCTTGTCAGATTTGAGCTCACGTCACAAGCCAGTGTTGCCTGCGGTCAGAGACGTTACTACTGAGCTATTTGGGCTCGTAATTGACCTCCTGTAGGACTGTAGTGGATACTCTTGATTGGTGACCACATTACAAACTTGACTGATAGAATTCAGTCTGCACCAAAGAAATGACTAGACATATCACACTAGTTACTAGTGTCTAATAAGATTAAAAGATACATAGATGACATTTTCATCATTTGCGACGACAGTTATGAGCAAAGTCACTTGCTGCAAATATTCAACAACTGCTATGCGGCAATAGAATTCACTCTAGAAATGGAATGCAGATCCAAAATTTCCTTTCTTCATGTGCAACTTACAAGACAATTTGATGGAACCCTAAGAAGGGAAATCCATAAAAATAACCCACTTAGAACGGTCAATTAACAAGTTTCTAGAGTTGGGTACAGTTGAAACGAAACCTGGTTAAATCCCTTGCACCTCGGATCCGACAAATCTGCAGTCCTGATGCCCTGGAAGCAAAACTGGATCTTCTGAAAGAAACCTTCATCCAAAATACATACCCGCCAAGACTCATCGACGAGAATGTCAAACCAAAGGTCCAGAGGAACGAACTGTCACTTGTTTCAAAAAATATACTTTACATGAATCTAGGAGACTTGACTTGCAATATCCTCAAGAGAAGAATTTCAGCATTTTTGAAAAGAACATTCTTCGCAGCAACGCTAATAGTATTGTTCCTCCACTGATCTTCAGAAGCCTTAAGGATAAAGTCTCGTATCTGGCCACTTCTATGTGCATTTATCAGCTCACCTGTTGCCATGGAGCCAGCCAGGTACATTGGTTGTTCGACGCATATCTTGTCCAAAAAGGGTTCAAGAACACTGTAACTGGGTTGCAGAAATTCAGTATTGCCTCTATAAGGAATGCGATAATCGAGCATCTCGTCAACACTAATCATTTCATCTCAACAAGTACCTCCTTCAAAGTGATCTAGAAAGTGGAGAATAACCTACCAAAGGCAATAAGCTTTTGTCTCCTTTGTGCATTGCTGAAGTCTTAGCCATTCATTTGGAGGAACCGGAGTTATGCATACAAAAGAAAATCATCCAAACACTTCTACCGTGTTGACTTACACTGACCTGATGTCTGTGTGCTTCTTTCTACTTTCCTAATTCCTTATAACATTTGTAATTTTTAGAACTCTGACGGTGCGGTATTCAAACTTGCAAACTCACTCAGATAGGACAAGCTCTGTATGTTAAAGGACCCTGTTGACCTCCTTAGACAAATAATGTAATTTACAGTAGGTCCGGGTTAGTCAGATTGTCAGAACATAAGAACTTAGTGGCTAAGGTAAGAATGGTTGACCCCGAGGTAGATGAGTAATTTTTAAAAAAGCTCAGCGATTGCACTGCATGCATTAATACACAACCACACAATAGGATGTGAGAGGGTTAAAATTCTTAAAAGTAATCTAGGTAGGTGGAGAGGGAGAGGTTGATTACTGATTCTTTGTTCATCGAGTCTACACCCAACACATGCAATAGGAATGACCCACCACTCATACCGGAAATATGCAAAATACTACTACTACCAATCAAATCAAGCGATGGAAAATAATGGAATTACATAAACGAAGCTAGAAAGTTGTGTGAGTAGTGCCTTGATATGATTATGAGCAGTAATAAATTGTACTTGAAACGTGGTCATCAGTAAATATTACTGTACAGCATGCTGTGAGACTTTATCAAAATGCATTTTGCCCATAATGGAATTATACTCTACCACCACAGTGCACAAGTTCTATTCTTGTATCAACTCTTACTCAATTCCATATTTTCTTTTGTTTCTATGTGCATCCTAACATTAATAATAATAACTATGTTTTTCTTGATGAAACATCACCATTACCTCCTTAGTAATCTTCACCTCTCCCCTGGTTACAGTCTGATAATTCATCAAATTTTTGAAATGTCTTGACAACCACAATAAACCTATTATATTTTTATTCTTATGGGACAAACCTTATGTACTTACACACACGTACTTATTTTGTGTCTGAGACGTAGCCTGGCAGCGACAGTGCGTCGGTGGCATAGCGGTTAGGATGCTCACCGACCATGCACATGGTCCGGGGTTCGAACCCCGGCCGACGCACTCCTTTACCTCGCTAAGCCAGAAATAATGCTGGTAAAGAGGAAAGGTTGGGCATGAGGCTAGCAACCCCATCCTGTAAAATAAACACTGCTACAGAAACTTCAAGCCACTAGCTTGAAGCCCTATGTTCCACTGGGGAACGTGAAGGATAAAAAAAAACCCTAACAGCATTGCTGAGGTGACTTTGGGCTTTTGGCATGTTACTGTTATTATTGCGAAATAGTACCGTATACTTTATCGGAAATAACTATATATCTGCGTCTAGCAACTCAAGGGAGTTCTTGATATAAGTATAAAACTTGGGCACTGTAGTAGAGTATAACTCTATTATGGATAAGATTTTATTTCGATAAGTCACACAGCGTTACACGGTAATGACCACGTTTCGAGCACAAACTATTGCCACTCATAATCATTTCAAGGCACTACTCACACAACTTTTTCCTTCATTTATTTACATGAGTGGAATTCATGATTAGACATTTGAATAAAAATCAATATGGGATAATATACATTCAGAATTATTAGTATGAGTGTTAATGATCAATTACAATCAGATGGGAAATAAGACGAGTGTTTTTATAGTCAAAAGAATAAGTAACTTGTTAGAATGTTGTGATATGCTTGAATTGAAATATAATTTTAAGATTATTTATTATCCTTCTCTGATTTGACTGACTGGTGGTTATAATATCTTCCATATTTCTGGTATTTGCATTGGGTAACTTCGATTGCATGTGTTGGGTGTAGACTCGATGAACGAGGATTCAGTAATCAATCTCTCTTGCTCTCCACCTACATAGATTACTTTTTAGAACTTTAACCCTCTCTCACCCTATTGTGTGGTTGTGTGTTAATGCATGCAGTGCAATTGCTGAGCTTTGTTCTAAATTACGTATCTCCTTGGGGTCAACCATTCTTACCTTAGCCACTAAATTCTTATGTTCTGACAATCTGATTTCCCCCGATCGGCTAGTTTGACCTATGTAGTTGACCTCACTCACAGTCATTGCAAGGTATTCTGTAAATTATATTATTTTCTCTAATTGGGTTCACCGGGAGTTCTCGTTAACTGTACAGTGAATTGAAAAGATCGGCGTTTACTAAATTCAAACAAAAACACATCCATCAGTTTTCGTCATTATGACGTCATCTTCGTACTAAAGAATCATCGAAGGTGATATTATCAACACAGGCATAAAATCTCTGCCTAGTAAAACCAATCATTGGGGCATTCATAATGATAATTTTAACGAATAATATTTGTTTTTGGTTATCATAGGTATCTGATGGGAAAAATTCCCACATTCAACCTATAAAAAGCTTCTTTCTTCCACATCAGATAATATGACTGACAGTTATCCTGAGCATTATTCAATCAACCGATCAATAAATTTTCCCCCCACCTCAAAATTGGTTAATACTCTTAGGTTATTAAATCAGTGTGAAAGGAGAGAATTATTCGGTGTGCGCACAAATTCTCACCACAGATGAAATTGGCTAGTAGTCGAACTATTTCGTGAATTGGCAGAAGTTGGAATTCATGGGTTGGCCACTGGATCGAGTCCTGGTGGCCGGTTAATGGGTTCGAACGCCAGTAGGTACACACTGATGAAGAGTACAAAAATACTAGGATGAAACAGCTGTCTAGTACTTCCTGCTGGTTTTCCAATGATTCTGTAGCGGCAAATAATTCTCCAAAATTATTGACCACAACACTCATCACTGAACATTGGATGCTGACCCTCACTGTTTATGTCGACATGTTTAACTGAAGGCTTCCGGTTAAGCATCCATGCCATTTGGTACTTCGTCTTGTCACGTTCTTGCACGATCACTAGCCAGCTAAGCAATCATCTCGCACTCCGATTTGGTCCCAAAATATATCTCGTAATTTGGACGATCAATTGTGGCATTTTGTTTTGCCTTTGGTCTACGCAGAACGAAAACTGTAGAAGTTGTGGGTATTAGATCTTGCGTTAGTATACTCCGTAAAATCCGCGAATGTCAATACAGTCAGCCTCTAAAATTCTTTCTAACCGATGCGAACTCGTGGTAAAACCTGTCTGATATATATATATCCAATAGACGAATTATTATATAATTTTCAATACAGTTTTACTTTTTTTTAACTAACCTTGCACTATTGATCGCTTCAACCCACATGGAACATTCTTCTTCAGTGTCTGCGCGTAGATCATACTGTCGAACGCCTTCTTTACGATATGATATTGTAAAGCAATGCTACAACAAAAAAGAATAACAATGAAAGATAAAACTACCATAGTGTAAACAAACCAAACGGGTAACTAAAGTTAAGCAAGTTATTACAGACAGTGGGAAACAAGAAGACAGGGTTATCCTGGACCGACGTGAAGAACCCAGAAGACCTGGATTTCGCGCGTGGATGATTTATGTTTGATGTCACACAAAATCGAAGACTTACAAGCGAAAACTGACAAACTGGTCGAAGAGGCTGGCAGCAAAGACAGGACTGCAGGTGAACATAGACAAGACGGAGGTCATGAAAATAACCAACCAACAACAACAACAGCAACATCCAGCGCCAATCACCATCAACGGGAGGGATTTGAAAGAGGTTACTTCTTTCACTTATCTAGGGAGCATTCTCTCAACTACAGGAGGAACGGATGGACGAGGATGTCAAATCGAGAATCGGGAAGGCGAGAAACACATTCATCAACCTGAAACCAATCTGGAAATCTTCGTCACTCAGCATCAACAACAAAATTTGGATTTTCAATACAAACGTCAAGTCAGTCAGTTCTTCTATACGGACGGATCAGAAACTTGGCGGGTCACAAAGAATATTTCCAACAGCCTGTTGCAGACCTCTATCAACAACTGTCTTCGCTGGCTCTATACTGAAGATCAGATGGCCGAAAAATTTGATGTTGTGCTTATTGAGTACTCTTTTGATAGCGTCTGACATTTTTTGATCTGATCTGAATACATTTTCGACCATATTTATTTAGATAAAGCAATAAGAAGACGTAATTTGTCTGAATCGTGTAATGTGTATTCGCGCGCACAACACATTTCGAACAATCTGATCACACACGGACTTGTCATAGGAATATATATCAAATGAATAAATAGTCAAGAGGTGAGAAAATAGACTAAGGTCAAGTTGAAAGGACACATTGAAGGTCAAAATAACAATCGTGATCACTAAACCAAACAACAGAGGTAATACTACATCTACCCTGGCTAGTTAAAAAACAAAGTTTACCAAAGAATGTTTAGTGTGATTACGAACAGTTTTTTGAACGCATAAATGTGGCTTAAACTTTCTAATTGCCACCTAGGGCCTTCACAAACGTATTGTAGATAGTTAAGAAGATCTGTTAACGTCAATTTTATGTCCTGTCTCTATAATATGTTGCGCAATAGAGGAGCTAGGTCTCTGTTCTCACCATTATTGGGTTCTGAAAATTCCATCTGTTTCTGGAGCCATTTAGGAATTTGCTCTGAAGCCAGGAATTACTTGCAGAGATCGATGAGTCCTCCCTAAGAATGTGTTTGCACACGTACATTCAAATTGGTAAATACAGTGGGGCATGTGACATCATTTTTCGCATGTTCGAGGGCTTAGATGGATGGATATATTGGCTTCACAATCTCAAATATTATGATATTAGCTGCATAAAAAGTCTTTTTAACAGCAGCGTTCAATCTTTGTCTAGTTATCAAGCTGTCATGATGCCCCATATAAGGCAACTGGATGTACATGTCTTTCTTAGTGGTGAGTTGTAGAGTGGGTCTTGGTGTTCTGACTACTTTATATCTCCTGATTAACTTGTCTGGATAATTGTTATCAACCAGAGTTTGTGTCAACTTTCTTTCTTCTTCATCATGTGTGTCTTCAGTGCATATTCGTTGGATTCCACTGAAGAGGCACCTTGCTATGACTCTTTTACGTCTTCTTATTGCTTTATCTAAATTCATAAAGGGAACTAACTCTTTTAGACCATATTCATTGTCAGTGTTGATTTTGCATACGAAGTTGTTTGGATAGTTATTTCTCTTGGGAACCCCATACTCTACTAATCTATCATGACTAATCACCACCATTGTCTCCCACTTTACAAAATATTTTGTAATCGACTTCAGCCTAGCACGTTTGTCACACAAATACGACTGTTTATTTTGACACCCCATATCTAATCTGTTATTCTACGTTTCTACCACATAACTGGCTATCATTATTGTAAAGATAACAAACATTTTTATTGTTTTACAATTGGCATAGCAGTTATAACGCTCGCCGACCATGCATATGGTCCGGGTTTCGATCTCCAACCGACTCACTCCTTTACCTCGCTAGGCCAGAAATAAAGCTGGTAAAGAGGAAAAGGTTGGGCATGAGGCTAGCAACCCTATCCTGTAGAAATAAACACTGCTAGAGAAACTGCAAGCCAATAGCTTGAGGCCGTATGTTCCACTGCGAACAAGAAGGAATATAAAATGACAATTGTAAGCATCTGAAGAGGAGAAATTATTGAAATGAATATTCTTCGTTCAGATTGACTTTTATATATAACAACTTAATCATTGTTCATCAGCAGGGGATCACTTTTGTGTTGTCAAGTTTATCAGTTGGTAAAAATAACAAAACTAAATGAAGATTGTTGGATTTGATAAGTGAATAAGATTATAAAAGCAGCACGTGTTTACATAATGAAACTGCTTATTACATCCGTGTTGATTTTGTCGTTTCATAGGGAAGGGGGCTGTTGTGACCAGGTCAAATTCTACTTTAGTCCATCATTCTTATTCAGACAATTTGGATTCCATTAGACATGAAGTGCTTCTGGTGATTTGAGATGTTCTTTGTGGTTTCTGGAATTTTTCTGGATTATTCCAATACTGTCACAATCAATGTTTTGTCCTGATTCTATAGCGTGTAGACAACCCTAAAACTGAAGATTTCCCCTGCTTTTTAATTCAGCTGGATTTCTCAGTGATGGAAGAGATGCTCTACGGTGTTCACTTCTTCTGATTTTGATTTCTCTCTGGTGATGTTTGTCCGATGTATATCGCATCACATTCCAAGCATTTTACTTTATATACACAAGTAAATTGCAAATCCAATACATAGACGAGGTTGTTTTTCATTGTGTGTCTGATGTTTTGAAGAAAAGGTTGATGTTGTGCCTTTGGCGAGTCCTCTTTTGATATCGGCAGACTTTTCTGATCTATATGAAGTGACTACTTCTGAGGCGCATCTCTTTGCAATATGTTTTCGACCATATTCAATGTTGGTGTTGATTTTGTCGATGACGTTCTTTGGGTAGTTATTTCTCTAGGGAATTTCCATAATGCTTGATATTTCTTCTTCTTTTTCCTTCTCATTTTTTAACATCAAAGCGTTCGCTCGTCTAAGGAAACCTGAAACAATTGATACCTTTGCGCTGATGGGGTGTGATGATCTGAAGTCTAAATACTTGTGGTCGGAGTGGGTTTTCTTCCTGAATATAGATATACCTAAATGTCAGTTTTCCCTCTTCTCAACTAGGCAGGAAGGATTTGTGTAATAATAATAATAATTTGCTTTATTCCAAAACAGTACTTGTGATACAGAATGGAATTCTCAGCATTTTTACTACAGTATTGCATCCAGTTAGCACATTATCAATAAATAGAATTCTACATAGATTGAGGAAATCTCAGTTCATTATGACAACAACATATTGGCATGTCGGTAGCAAAGCCAAAGTTGAACACTGTTTGAAGGTGTTAGAAAAGTAGGTGCTAGCATATTTACTGGAGTAAGCGAGACAAAGTAACGAAGCAGCACATAACAGAAAAGAGAGAGAGAAAAGGAAAAGAAAGAAAGAAAATGTCCTACCTATAAATGATGTGAGCTGGAAAGACGAGGTCCAGTTGTTCTACTGACTATTTAATGAATTATAGGTGTCACGCCTAATTCTTTCTTTATCACACAGAACATGAGCTAAGTAGGGTATGGGTGAGTTTTTGTACTTGCTGGTGCGAGCATATAGTTTTCTATATAGGCTTCTGGTTTTACCTGATGAGATGCAAGGGGAGAGTTGTGAGTGTAGAGGGTGTTGTGAGTTAGATAAAATGGATTTGGCCCATTTTTCACATGAGTCCATGTGCCTGTCGACCAGAATATTAACAAGCTGGTTAAGTGTCACGCTGCTTACCCTGTTGACAACCTTTAACACCCTACGTAATAATATATAGTCCTTCTTCAGTAGCCCGGAAAAAACTAAGGGGGAACAGTAGAGAATAATAGGCAGAATGAGAGAGTTAACGAATTGTAGGAGTAGAGTTGGGTTATTCCAGAATGTTTCAATTTCTTGATGTAGAAGGTAAGACGGAATATTTTCTTAGAAATCATCAAGATATGAGACAACCAGGAGAGATCAGCAGATAGAATAAAGCCCAGGCATTTAATTTCCGACTTGGTTTCTATTTCAGTGCCATCTATGTTGCACACCTTGTGAGTGCTAACCAGTTTGTTTAGGTCGGATTTATGCCTGAAGGTGAAATTGACTGTTTGGCATTCGGAGGGGTTTAAGGTAAGACCGTTTTCCTTGGACCACACTGGCTGATTTCTGACAGAAAGCCATTTAGCTTAGAGCAGTCACTTTGACATTTGACAGGCGAAGATACAGTCAGATCGTCAGCATATTTGACAAAATTGATGTCGTTTGAAGATGGTAAGTCATGTAGGAAGAAAGAAAAGAGAAGTGGGGAGAGTAGAACTCGTTTTATCACACCGAAAGTATCCTCAACATATCTCAGCCATATTTTTAGACGTTATTATGTTTGAAAAGATGTAATCTTCAATTGGATCCATGAAAAGATCAGAGACAGGCAACAAACGCACTTAAGAAACTGAGGAAAAATGGAGTAATCTTAGGGACAGCCAACAGTTGTCGTAAACCTAATGGAATTGACACCTCACTGCTCTGTCCACCCAGTCCTGAACCTGTATAATTCCATCCTCCAGAATTCAACTTTAAATGACACAGGTGTTGACACTCAGAGGAGCCTAGATACAGCTTGTTGGTAAATGTCAGATAACCAGAGAAACGCTTCAGTTAAATTCTATTCATCAAAAAATGTCTTAATTTTCCCAACATTTCTTATGATTACTTCTGCATGTGTTTGTTGATTTCATGTTCTCACATGTTTCTTTTGAAAAAGAAAACGTAAAATTTGAAACTCACACAATGTGTGTTTGTAATTGA